AAAATAAGACTTGGGTTTTGGTGGGTCCCTCTCCTGATATGAAGGTCATCACCAACAAGTGGGTGCTTAGAACAAAATACAAGTTGGATGGTACTGTTGATAAGTCCAAGACCATGCTGGTTGCAAGGGGATTTGAGCAGAATTCTGGGATTGATTTTATTGAAACATTTAGTCCTTTGGTAAAACCATGTACTATCAGGTTGGTATTCACTCTTGCAGCCATCTACTCATGGTCTATACAACAAATTCATATCAACAATGCCTTCTTAAATGGGGATTTATATGAGACTGTTTATATGGTTCAATCCATTGGCCTTTTTTATCCTAATCACCATTCTGCCATGTGAAATCTCACTAAATCATTGTATGGTCTTAAACAAGCCCCTCATGCTTGGTTTACTAACACCAACAACTTCTTATTATCACTACAGTTAAAAGAGTGTGTCTCTGATTCTTCTTTATTCTTCAAAAGGGAAAACAGTGAACTGTTTCTTGTCTTAATATATGTGGATGACATCCTCATCACATGTGATAATGTTGTTTCACTTCATATTTTAATCTCTACACTTGAACATCAGTTTGCCTTAAAAGCAATGGTGAGGTAAAACACTTTCTAGGATTTGAAGCTCTTAAAACATCTAATAGTTTTATTTTGAATCAATTTAAGTATGGTTTGGATTTGTTGGTCAAGACCAACATGTTGAATTTTAAGTCTATCTTTACACTTGTATCTCCTTTTCACAAGCATCATGTTTTTGATAGTCATCCAAATTTCGATCCCACCTTATACACAAGTGTGGTGGGTGCTTTCAATACCTCACTATGACTAGGCCAGATCTTTCTTTTTGGGTTAACAAGTTGCATCAGTTTCTTTATGCACCCACTATGCATCATTGACTTACATATAAACATCTCTTAAGATATGTGAAGGTCACTCTTATTCTTGGCCTTCATGTCAACCCAGTTTTATTCTTGAAGCCTGTACTGATGCAGACTTGGCTAGTTGTATGGATGGTAGGAGGTCTATCGGAGGTCACTTTGTCTTTTATTGTCCTAATTTCATTATGGATAGTCAGTTATCACTAATCAAGTTAGCTCATGCTTGAAAACTCGATTGCATATGTGGGATAGTCCCTCTCTTTGTATATGTACTCTTGTTCTTTCTCACTGTACACAATGAGAAAATTCTATCTTTAGTTTATCTAACACATAATTGTCGATTGATCTGAAAAATATTTTTATTTTTACCGAGTACCGAATCAAAAGATTCGTTCTCCAGGTCGATCTCTCGAGGAAGACAGTTCATAATTTAGCGTTGGTATTGATCACACACGAAAAGAAAATAAGTCCTAAGCACTCTAATCACGATTGATTTGGGGAATTAACTAAAACAAGCTAGAACTAGAAAAACAATTTAGAGAAATAACAATTAAATTTCTAGAGAAAAGAAGCAGTTCTAGGGGTCGGGAAATCTCATCAAGTCATGAACTATGTTGAACGCTTATTTGTTCGGTTACGAGATTTAACAAGCCTACACGTCTAGAGGGCTATGCTCAATAACTCTTCG